ATAATGGCACTGAGCTATATTGCATTTTGTATTTTATTTTAATTAATTTTGCAGCCATAAATAAGTACATTCATAAAAATTACAAAAATCTGTGAAAGAATATAAAATACAGTTAAAAATAAACGAATAAATTAATAAATAAAGGAGGAAAAAGTAATACAGGATTAATTGTATTTGTTTTAGCAAGTCGTTTATTCCTTTACTTATTTTCCTGTTATTATATTTATTTATTTATTTTCAATTTTCGCTGGTTTGGTCCCCCATAGACTACATTTATATTTCATTTGAGCATAACCAAAGGACATAATCAATACATTAATGCAGAATCCTCAAACTTCTCTCTTTTTCTGGACTCAGAGCCGTTCCCCAGCTGTGTTCTGGAAGTTTCTCCACAAGACGTGAAGGAGTATTTCTGTCCTCAAGACTTCAGGGTCGGTGAGGAGGTCACGCTGATGGGGAGGCGCTTCCTGCTGTATGACTGTGACGACTTCACCAGGAAATACTATGAACAGAATCACCCCGACTTCCTGCTCAAACCACTTACTGTAGACACCAGAACACAGCAAGACATCAAGAAGGTCAGAGACTTACTCTTAATTGGGCTAACATCACATCTCATCTTAGTTAAAAATGTTTTTTACAGTAGTTTTTTTTTTTTTGGTCATTTTATATGATCTATCTGCCACTTTCCACAAATAGGGTACACTTATGTTCTCTAGAAATGTTTTATGTTGTGACTCAGTTGTCTTGGACTCACACTGACATCTCACGGTGTGAATAAAGCATCACGCAAATGTTTTCAGCTAGTGATGCCATTGTAGAAATATTAGTCAAACAATAATTAGTCAAACCACTTTACAAGAGATGGTCTGAATGATTCATTAGCAAATTTGTCTGAATCAAAATTATTTTTAAAAAGTCTTACCCAGTAATCATAATATTATATTATTCACAAATTTTATTAATGTTTTTAAGATAATTTCTAGAAAATAACAAAAAGTTCCAAAAGTTACTAACAGGGTTGGAAATAATTGCAAGCCTTATAAAATAAATGTTACAATTTTAATACATTTCTAATGTTAATAAAAAAATATGATTTAATTTTGTAAAAGTTAATTTCTAGAAAATAACAAGATGTTCCAAATGTTTAATCTTAATAACAATTTTTTTTTTTTTTAATTGATTTCTAGAAAATAAAATGTTCCAAATGTTACTAACAGGGTTGGAAAAATGGTAAGCCTTATATAAAATAAATGTTACATTTTTAATACATTTTTAATGTTAATAACAAATTGTATTATTTAATGTATTTTTAGTTAATTTCTAGAAAATAACAAAATGTTCCAAATGTTACTAACAGGGTTGGAAATAATTGCAAGCCGTATAAAATAAATGTTACAATTTTAATATATTTCTAATGTTAATAAAAAAAAAAAAATATATTTTTTTTTAAGTTAATTTCTAGAAAATAACAAGATGTTCCAAATGTTTAATCTTAATAACAAACTTTTTTTTTTTTTTGAGTTAATTTCTAGAAAATGTTCCAAATGTTACTAACAGGGTTGGAAAAATGGTAAGCCTTATATAAAATAAATGTTACATTTTTAATACATTTTTAATGTTAATAACAAATGTTATTATTTAATGTTTTTTAACTTTAATTTCTAGAAAATAACAAAAATTTCCAAAAGTTACTAACAGGGTTGGAAATAATTGCAAGCCTTATAAAATAAATGTTACAATTTAAATACAATTCTAATGCTAATACAAAAAATTTTTATTTATATATATATATATATTTTTAGTTAATTTCTAGAAAATAACAAAATGTTCCAAATGTTACTAACAGGGTTGGAAAAATGGTAAGCCTTTTATAAAATAAATGTAATATTTTTAATACATTTTTAAATGTTAATAATATGTTCTCTACAACCACCTTTTTGATTTACTGAAAAAGAAGCAAAAAAGCCTATTTTGTACCATGTTTGTGGAATAAGACCCCTATATTTTCTATCCTGCCTGTTTGTGAGGTATATGATGTGTTCCCTTCCCTCCATCTGTTCATCCAGATATTCCGTCTGTCCATGTGTTTTCTGAACCTGTCACACAGGTGATTCCTCCGTATAACGGCTTCGGTTCGCTGGAGGACTCGTTACAGAACTGTCTGTCCCTGATTCCTGAACCGCCCAAGAAAGACGTGATCAAACTGCTGGAGAACGACAACAAAGTCCTGCGTTACATCGCGCGGCTGGTGAGAGCACAGCTCATTTGGATCATTCCCGTACTGAATATTTTTTTTATTTATAAAAATGTTGGTGTATTTGTTTATATGGCTTCCACTCATGTCCAGTTCTATTCACAAAGTCGGTTTATTTTGCAATGACTCTACATTCGTCCTTACAACATTCTCGTCTGCCACAGGATTCCCAGAATCCCCTGGATGAGGGCCGACGCTTCATTCTGTCCTACTACCTGTCCGATGACATGATCAGTGTCTTTGAGAGATCAACACGTAATTCCGGCATCATCGGAGGAAAATTCCTTGAGAAGACTCGTGTCCCGAAACCAGGAAACTCTGTGGAAAACCCAGAATACTTCGGGCCTGCAGACTTCTCCATTGGAGCGACTGTGGAGGGTATTGACCAGTGACATCACATCCTGGGAATCATCACTCTCCTGTTTTCTCATGCTGTTCTGTTCTTTTCTCTGCAGTGTTTGGCCATCGGTTTGTCCTGATGGATGCTGATCGTTACGTGTTGAGTTATCTGGAGTCACTGTCCCATCACATCCCTGAACACACTCTCTCTTCCCTGAGACAGAAGTTTGGGGTCAGTCAAACCTCAGACCAGGAGGAACAACATGAAGGTAAAAAATGTGTTTTGTTGTGGCCTATGCAACCTACAGTCATAAAAATAAAAGTTCTTTATTGGCTTCGATGGTTCCATGAGGAGCCTTTAACATCCATGGATTTTTTTTCCATTCAACAAAAGGTTCTTTAGAGTATTAAAATATTTTTCATTTTAAGATGAAAATGATTATTTCAAGTACTGTTCACAAAAGATTCTTTGGGGAAATCAAAAATGGATCTTCCAAGGCATCACTAAGAATATCCTGATTTTGCCATATGGCAAAATATATAGTCAAATATATATTTTAAATATTTAAAAAAATATATTTGCTAAAATATATGTAAATACTTTTTATTCTACCAATACGTTTATAAAAATATTTAAATAAATATAAAATATCCATCCATATTTGCATTTAATGTAGGCTACTGTAAGATTGGAAATGTATTTTCTTGCCCCTGAAATACATTTTAAAATATATTTTGGTATATGAAGGTTGAAAGTTTTTTTTTCATTCAACTCACACCATATATTTAAGATATATTTTGGCCAGAAAAAAAATGCAGTATGGGTTGAATCCTTTAAGTGCACAGCCTTTCGGTTGCATATCCAAGATCCTGTGAAAAGGAGAAATGGACTATTCATGATTATGTTTCTGTGGCTGATATTCAGTAGAAATCTTGAATATTTCTCTTCACAGGTGAGACTGATGGAGCTGCGGTCGTCCTCCAGAGCTGAAATCTGCTCTATAATGCTTCCCATCATCACAAGATACCAACACGTCGTCATCAAAATACTTTTCTTCTTTCATGTTTGTTCTTTTTGATGTTGAGAATGTTCATGTATTGTGATGTTAATGTGCAATAAAGAAAGAGAGGAAAACAAGCATCTGTAAAATTAACATTTTTGAGGCTCATTTATGTATAATTTGACTGTATTTACAAACATGTCTTATTTCACCACAAAATTAGAAGAAAATAATTATCTTAATGTTAGGCTGGATTCATCTGAAGCAAAAAAAAGGTAATAAAATATTAAGGTAAATTTTAAGTTTGTAAGCATTGTCCTACGTGCAAATCTGGAAACATTAACTACCCAAATACATTCCTAGGATTTTTTTTTCTTTTTGTAAAATTACAGGTTTAGATGTCTGATTATATGTATTACACAAGGCGTCTTTATGTAGGATAACAACAAATGAAAAACCTTGAACTGGAGAAATTTCTGAATGTGTGTATATTCATCAGATGCCTGATGCATAAAGGTCATCTAGAAGAATGTGAATTCTTAAAAACACTTTTTTTCTAAGATTGTTCTTGAGTATTTTTTTTAACTGAAGTAAAGAACATTTTTACAAGTCAGAAAATAAAATGGCATTTTAAAAGAAATCTATTCCTAAACTATTTTGTGAATCCACCCCCTTATTTTTAGTATCAATAATATTTTTTTGCAAGAGTGTTATATTCCATGTCAAGTAAATTTCAGTTAAGTGCAATTGTATATCCCATGGTTGTAGTTGTATTGAATTTGTTTTTGCATTACAGAAAAAAAGTTTTTTTTGCACCGAAAAGCTCATTATCCTAATGTTAAAAAAGGTCATTTGTAAATTAGTTTTAAAATGTTATTTTCAGTTTACACCGATTTGATAAAAAAAAAAAAAAATGCAAAAAAAAAACCCAATTCTAATAGGCTTTTTTCGTCATGCAAAACTTTTTTTTTTTTTTGATGAAACGTGACAAGGACATATTTTCATCAGAGATTCCCATCCATTATCAGTTTATATGATGAAATAAAACATGAAATAAACATAAATGTTGAAATTTTTCTGCAAAGACAGAAAACATTAAAAATGTCACTATTCAAAAAGGTTCAATATTTATAAAGCATCGTCATATACAATCAAATATCAAACTGCATAAACGTACAAAGCCAAACTGAGTGAGTGTTTGCTGTGTGTTCAGGGTCATTTCACTACTACAACACTTGTTCCTACCTCAAACATGATTTTCCATTGTTTCTTTGATTGTCATGTAAATCTTTTGATCTCACAATAACACCTCAGATTTAAATCGTCTCAATAAATGTCATTTCTAGGCCACCGTAGTCGCCACTTTTGTACCTCAAAACATGCAGACACAGAAAAATAAAACTAACCTCAAAACAGCGCTTTAATAAAGAAAGACTGAGTGAAGTTTAGAAACATATGCAGAAGAAATAACATGAATACTGAAACTGGAACGAGAAGTTTAGTACGTTGACCAGAGCCTGTTGAGGGTGCTGTCGTCACTCTGAGAAACGCCACATGCACTTCTCTTGATGTGGAAACGGGAAGCAGCAGGCAGATGAGCTGTTTCCTGTTCCTGTGCCCTCGATGTGTGGAGGCCATGCGCTGAAATGGGGCTGAAGTTCACGGCGCTTTGATCTTCTTGAGACGAGGGGATGTGCCGTTCTCTGCTTTAATCAGTCCATTCTCATGGTGACCAACTGCAGGACATACAACAGCTCGTGTTAGAGAAGACAGACACATCACTGAACACCAAACAACATGTAACCAAAGACAAAACCAGTGTCTGTCATTCTTGAGTGTCACGTTTTGGCTCACACACACACAAAGAATATTATTGCCTAGAGGGCAGTGAAGGTTCACCTAAAAAAAGTACTCTTTACAAAAGCTGTATGATTTTTTTTTTTTCAGTAGACAATTCCAAACTATTTACAATACCTTTGTGTGAGGAAAACAAAATGTAATGATGAATTCATGAATGAGCATGCAGCTTCGACAAAAAAAATAATTAAAAAAAATTATTTTGTTTTGGTAAGGCCCCATAATAACTTCTCGTCTTCTGATTCATCCAAGAAAATTTTATTGTCTAGTTTCACAATTGAAAAAAATCAGTCAAAGTTTGTTTTTGGTTGTTAGTTTTGTGCTTCTCAATTACTAGACTGTTCTGGAAAACTTAATTAACAAAAAGCAAAAACAGTAGTACATAGTAAAGCGCTATATAAATGCCTCATTCATTCATTATGAAACAAAAAAAAACTTTGTGCATTAGGCTTGCCGCGATCGACGGTGTTGACGGTGATACCGGTGTTAAGCCGATTTCATTTCTCCAGTGAGGAGAGTGAGTCCAGCTGACTGACAAGTCGATTGACCGGTGGGAAAATTTCCTCACCGTCACAACCTTAATGTGTACCTGTACAGCTAATTTTGGACAAGATATTTTGGTCAAACTGATCCCTAACACAATGGAAATAGATGGGAATTATTAAATTTCTCACATATTTCATATCTTTTAAGTCTCTGACTAGCTAAAATACAGTTTTTTGTGTGACTCTTTAGTGTTTTTCATAGTGTCGGTTTTTGGCAAAGTGCATGGAAACCAATGAAACTGACAGGGTTAACAGCATGTTTGGGTAAACCAACTCTTAACCCTAGTCTATCTAGAGCACGTTAGTTTAGAATGACTCCACTGAAAAAAAAAATGCTGTAGGATTTACTATAGCAATTTCTGAGTGAAAATTGTTTTCATTTCACAAATAATTACACAGGGTTTCTACAAATTTTAAAAACTTAAATTTAAGACTTTAAACGCCTTTTTAAGACCAATTAAAGGAATAAATTAAAGGGAACAAAATACGCCAAGTCTTGTTTTTTGAGACATTTATCAAAATGAAAAAAATAAAAAATAAGACAAATATCTGTCAATGGGCTCAGAAAATCTACTTGATTCAAAGGGAAAACAAGCTTTCATTCCTCATAGACCAGGGGTGTCCAAACTCAGTCCTGGAGGGCAGAGTTTAGCTCCAACCCCAATCAAACACACCTGAATTGACTACTGATAGATAGATAGATAGATAGATAGATAGATAGATAGATAGATAGATAGATAGAGAGAGAGAGAGAGAGAGAGAGAGAGAGAGAGATTTCTGCCATGACAACTCTCAGAGAGTTTAGCATGGTAATATACATGTGGCAGTGTTAATTTGTTTGGTCTTGGTGGAATAGATCTGCTACGTACATCCATGACATGCTGCTGTGAGCATGTAAGAAATACTGCTGCTGCACATATAACATATGAAACAACCCCTCAACAAAGCAGGAGACACAGAAATGGCCAATACAACCAAATAGATGAATGTCGCTGAGTGTAAGAATATAAACTGCTGCATTAGCATACATGCATATTACATTCACACAACAAATACCCCCCAAACAAGCAGATCTATCGCCAAGACATATGTACCACTGCTGCTCCAAAGAGTCATGTGAACCGCATGTATTACTATCTATGTGTGGCTACGTTACCATGCCGACCGGCTTAACTCTAGTGTGTTAACTACACTATGTGTAGTTAACAATAGATATATGCTGCAAGCTAATGAGAGAAGACCCCAGCATCCACCTGAGCAAAATATATTAAAGTCATTTGATAACTGTCATTGATATAACTTTTATACTCTTATTGTGTCATTAGGACGATAAAGAGAGCGTGACTCAAGACTCTGTGTGCAGCTGAATCAGCCGCACACTCAGCACAGCTACGGAAAACATCGACCTAAGAAATAAGCAAACGCGAACACTGAGGTTAAGCAGCTAATATGGCAAACCGCTGTTGAAATGCATACAAACGGGAATGCTTCTCATTTTAGCCTGTTCTCATGGGCTTAACTTGACGGCATGTCCTCAGAACAATTACAGACTGCTTGCTGCTGCAGCTGTATAAACACAGATACGTAAATGCTACTGCTTATACTTAATATTTCTCTCCTGCATACGAATGAAAGACTGTTAAACATGACACTTAGTTTAAACTTGTTTATGGTTGCTCATTTAGAATTGATTAGGCAGACCACGCAATATGCACAGTGACATGCGTAAAAGAGTATTCACTTATCTTAGATGTTGGTTTCAGATGCTTTCGGAAGCGCGCTGCAACTGCTACAGCGAGCACTAGCCGAGTATTTGAATGTTTGAGCAGCAAGCTCATTGGCTGCTGATACAAAAAGAACCAATCAGCTGCACCACGTGAATAATGACGTCATTATACAGATTGAGTTAGAACCGAACGGCCTGCGCAATCTAGAATTTCATGACAGAACTTTGTGTGTCCATATATGTATATATATTGATGGGTTTTCATGGGTTTCATGTGTGAGTGCGTCTATGGTTCATGTCTTACTTTAACAGATATGCAGCCAGAATGTGTAAGAGATAAAGACTGATATACTGCAGCTGACGCGGGATTTCCTCCTAAAAACATAAAAACACAATGCTTTCATTATATAGCAACACAATTCATCATTATATAGATTAATTACTATGTATATACACATCTATCTCTCTCCCTGCATCAAGGTTTACGTTTTCCTCTCATCTTCTCTTACCTTTCTCACTTTCTGGAAGTAAAGCTCAGGTAGTGCGTGAAACCAGTACGCCAGCTGTGTGAGGTAGAAGAACTTCACCTGAAACCTGACAGAAAGATGATATTACAGTCACATGACAATCTGACAGAACCATTCACAATCAAATCAACCACCAACACTGGCCTACTTAAAGAGTTTCCATGTTTTATTTGTCATGTTATATTCAGCATGTTATATATAGTGTTTGCATTGAGTTGCAAACATCCATGAGACAATCTCACAAAAAAAAACAAAAGTTACTCAAAAAATTAATTATTAAAAAAAAGTTTAAAATAATAATAATAATAATAATAATAATAAAAAATTTAAATCATAAAATTAAACATTTATTATTCTGCATAAATCAAATGTTTTTAAGACCATTAATACATTTTGCATAACTTTTTTAACCCAAATTATCATGGTTTAAAAAAAAAAATAAAAAAAAAATAAAAACATTCAACTGTCCAAACTAAGCTTTTTATTAATTAAAATCTGCATAAATCCTATTCAACAAAACAACTGGAAAAATAGGTAATTTACAATTTATACATACATTTATGATGCCAATTTGGAGGTGAAATGTGACCAAAATAATTTCAATATGCAAAAATTGTCCAAAAATATTAGTCATTTTCTTAATGCGAACTCTCGATTTTTCTTTTGATTTTTGGATGAAATAAGTTGTTCGTGACAGTTTTCATGAGATGCATGCTTTGTGTTTGTGTGTGTATGTACCTCAGGTGAACATGAGGATAATTCTCCCAAAGGCTGCTGGGATGCAGAAGGTATCCCTCCTGCCAATCACACAAATTATTATGCGACATGAACAGAAAGTGTAATGTTTAATATGTTGTGTGAGATCTTACTGTGGCGATGACGTAGAGACTCCATAAACTGGACACCAGATAAAACACACACAGCTGCCCAGATTCATTAAACTTTGTGTTTTTACTCTTCGACAAGTGAAGACGCCGGTTTACTTTCTGAAATGGAGCACACAACAGCCAAGAAAATGCAAATTAATAAAAAAAAAAAAACGTGGTATGCACATTAAAGAACTTCAGCTGCTGCTTGCAAAAAATGCATTTATTAAATTAAAACCGCATTACCCAAAATGCATTGCATCACTTACATCTAGCACATACTCCTGCACCACTGCGTGAAGGATGATGGTGATGCAAAGATAGAAGACGACAGTGGCACAGTCTTTCCATCCGTAAAGATACAGAGTCACCTCTCCATCTGAAAC